TTATGAATTTAAACTGTTTAACGATTTGTAGTTAAAATTAATTAAGATTTTATTATTCAAACTTCTGCAAATACATATAAATAAAGACACACTAATGTCATTGTAAAATGTTTGAATTTTATATGTTGTGTTTCCGGCTTGTTAACATCTTGTTTATTTTATTATTCATTATTATTGCTTTTAGACTGGCTCTTTCCATACCTCGCATGGTGAACGGAGACTATGACAATTGTTTAATGTACAATGTCAATTACACTGAAATGTTGGCAAAAGGAATGCGAGTTGCAGATCCTTCTTGGCCAAAAGTGCCTTGTCTTCATGGCTGGTCATACAACTTTACCGAGATTCCCTATTCAACGGTGGCCACCGAGGAAAATTGGGTTTGCGACAATGCTGCTCTTCCCACGTATGCTCAATCGATATTCTTTTTGGGTGCCATTGTTGGCGGTCTGCTATTCGGTTGGATTGCAGATAAATTTGGTCGTATTCCATCTTTAATTGGCTGTAATTTAGTGGGTTTTGCGGCGGGTGTGACCACAGCATTTGTATCAAACTTTTGGCAATTTGCCTTAATGCGATTCTTTGTGGGTTTTGCATTCGATAATTGTTTTACCATGATGTATATATTAGGTAAGACCACAACAACAACTAAATTTTTACACATTCAACATTAATACAATCAACAAAAACACACAGGGTCATTAAATGTTCTTGGTGGTGTAAATAAACATGTTTTGAATAATTGTTGTTTGTAACTATAACTTGTTGCATTCAATATTTTCTTGCAATTAAATAAATTAACTAAATAATTTACAAACAAATAATTACGTATACATATTAACATTATTCATATTTATAGATACAGCTCCCACACACAAATTGTATAGCAAATAATATATCGTCCCAATTTTAAACAAATTTCTAATGTAATATTTTTATAGATGTGAGAGCTAATAATTTTTGTTGTCATTTTTCTTAGTACTGGAATATGTTGGTCCACGTTATCGTACGTTTGTAGCAAATATGTCTATTGCTATATTCTTCACTTTGGCTGCTTGCATGTTACCCTGGATGGCATATTATATAGCTAATTGGAAGCTATTGGCTTTGGCCACCTCATTGCCTTTATTGTTGGCAGTATTGACGCCCTTAGTAGTACCCGAATCGGCAAGGTTAGTATTGTGTAAATCTTCTCTATTTATAATGTATAACAATTGATTATTTACAACTTTACTTATAGATGGTTGGTATCTCAAGGAAGAGTCGATAAGGCAGTATCGATTTTAAAAAAATTGGAAAAAATGAATGGCAAGCACATAACACCTGAAATTTATCAGAATTTCACCGACAGTTGCAACAGATTGAGGCAAGATGAAACCAAAAATAGCTCCTACTCGATATTGGACCTGTTTAAGACTCCACGTTTGAGAAGAACAACAATTTTATTGATTATAATCTGGATGGCTATTTCGTTGGTCTTTGACGGCCATGTGCGTAATGTTGGGTCCTTGGGTTTAGACATATTCTTTACATTTACTGTGGCCTGTTTTACCGAATTCCCTGCAGATACTTTACTGACTGTAACATTAGATAGATTCGGTCGAAGATGGCTGGCTTGTGGTAGCATGGTGTTAAGTGGAGTTTTTAGCCTTTTGGCCACCGTAGCACCTGTGGGTGTATACTCGGCCAGTTTAGCTATTATGGGAAGATTTTTTGTAAATATTTCCTATAATATAGGTTTGCAATACGCTGCCGAAATTTTGCCTACCGTTGTAAGGGCTCAAGGTGTAGCATTCATTCACATTATGGGTTATGTGGCCTCCATTATTGCACCATTTGTAGTGTATTTGAGCTATATTTCGGCCATGTTGCCACTAATAATTTTAGGTATTTTGGGCATTGCAGGAGGCCTAATGTCTCTTTTATTGCCTGAAACTTTAGATCATGATTTGCCTCAAACACTTACTGATGGCGAAGAATTCGGAAGAGGTCAAAGTATTTGGGATTTCCCATGTTTGGCGAAAAAGATTGATGAAGCTAATGATTTAGAAGTAAGAAGCCCACACTTTGTAAGATCAACGCAAAGTGGTGCCTCGCTTAGAGCTTCTACAACTGCCGAATTACGTTCCAGTATTTTGCAACGTTCTGTAAGGTCGCGATATTGTTCTAAATTATAAGAACTATTAGATTGTACACAATGAAACTGATTTTTTTATTTAATTTAAAATCTTTAATATCAAGGTTATTCTATTAGTAGTGATTGAATGTTACTATTATAATTATTTACAAAAAATATTCATCATTTTCTTATAAATATCATAACGCACACCTGCAAATCATTTTACAGTTACTGTCAACTGTCTCCACACCATTTCCCTTATTTTAAATTATGTTATAATGAAAATAATTTTCACAAATTATATGTTTTTTTCGTAACAAGTTTTAAAAATTATCAAGGAAATGGTGCATTTAATTACTTTTTAAAAATACTAACTATTTTTAACTGTTTACAAGTTTAAACTATTCCGGCATTTGTTCAATATAGAAGTATATAATTAATTTAGCACACATTATTACAGTAACATAATTAATTTTAAGTAGATATGTATGTAAGTTAGATTTCATGTTTTAGTAATTAAGTTTTCTAGTTATAAGTTCAAATAATATATGTATATGTAATTTTAGTTTATATGACAAAGTTTTATCTTATATTATTTAAATATTTATTAGTGTGTAATTGTACCTGTCTGACTATATACTATTGTACTTGTAACGTTTTATTAATTTTTTTTTCGTTAATAATTTTTAATCATTTGAAAAATACAATTTAAAACGAAACGAATTGTTTATTAGTAAAACTCTGTGCAATTGTGATATTAGTGTTAATTATAAATAACTAAAATTGTTAAAAAATAAAAAAAATATATATATTGCAAATATTTAGTGAAAAATAATTAAAAATTAAATTAATACTTAAACTCCGTAAGGTTCAATAAAAAGAATTATAAATAAAAATATGGTGTTCAAAGTGCTAAAAAGAACATCAGAAGCATAATAAAGTAATTTTAATAATTTCATAAAAGAGATTTATGTAAGATTTTTTTAATATGATTAATCTATCTAAAATGTTGATACCACAAAACCAAATGTTTTTTAGAAATTAATATGTTAAAGTTTAGTAAGATTCTATTTGAAGTTTAGATTACTAATAAATAAGATGCTGAAAATTTTAAAAAATTTAATTTTTTCGTCGCAAACTTTTGTTTTCCTTACCGATTAAAGTGTATGCGGAAACATTCCTTAAGTGAATACTTGGTACTTTTTGGTTTTCTTGGAATATTGAATATAGAAACATCCGAAAAAATATTAGTACATATGTACTTCCAAATGAATTACATTTTTCACCACTTCAAAAGCATTAAGTGAATATTTTAGAAGTAGTGAATTTGGAATCAAATAAAAAGGACAAACCTCCTATGATAAGCCTGTGTTAAAATCGTCTATAATCTATAAAAGGGAACTTTCTGATACTTTTTCGTTTTACAACAGGTCGTTTTTTTTTTGTTTTTTTTTTGCAATAAAATTGTAAACACACCATGCAATAAAATTGTAAACACACCACGTTTGTGCTGATGTTTGTAACGCACAAAAATATTGGTCCTACACCCACCTTAAAGTATACCGATTGACTCAGAATCAGTTTCTGAGTCGATTAAGTACAGGTCGCAATTTTCAAGATATTTTGATGAAATTTGGACCATACGTGTTTTTCGGCTCAACGACGAAGCCTATTGAAAATGGTTGAAATCGATCCATTATTTCACCTAGCCCCCATACAACCCTACCCGCCTTAAAGGGCTTTTGAGTTCATAATTATGTTAAATATTGTAGTATCTCTACAAAAATCGGCAAAACTTAGTTCTATATACGTCTTAATAATACTACCAATTTTCATAATTATCGGACTTTATTTGACCCTAGCCCCATACAAAGTCCCCTTCAGAAAATGACTTGAAGGTCAATAATTCCCTAATAAACACTATTATCACGATTAAATCCAGCATACATAACTCTAATGTAAACGTAAAGTCATGTACCAAAATTTATAAGGATAGGCCCATATTTACCCTTGCCCCCATATAACCTCTCTTTTAGAAAATCACCTTTTTCAACAAATTGTTAAAATATTTCGGAATTAAGGTAAACAACTTAAATGCTTTGTTATTAAATATAATCCACATTTTTAACAAGCTCAGTGATGTAGGGTATCATATGGTCGGCCATGCCCGACTATACTTTCCTGCTTGTTTTTTAATTAAAAATTAAACAATAGGCATAATTTTTTTCATATTTTGAAATGATTGTCATCACAATACCACATTCATGATTGCAATTTCGAAAACATCCAATTTATACCACTATTGCAATCTTTAGTAAACATAGAGGCAAGATATCGGTATTGAAACTGGTATAATACCGGTATTGATACCGTTATGATAACGGTATTGTATTGACACGATACCGAAATAAGGGTAAACGGTATTTGAATACCGGTATTTATGCCGATAACCTTATTTCGGTATCTGTACCAATTATAACGGTATTCAATTATAACGGTATCGGTAGCCAACCTTGCCAAAAAGTAAAGTTGTTTTCTACAATTTAAAAATTCCATTTGCCATCCCTGCCTCCTGTGTATTCTACAATATAAACTAAAATATACCTGTGTATTTATTGTATTTGTTTACCAAAAAGCTTTGTGCTCTTAACATTATTTTTATAGTTGTTTTTGCAATAAACAAAAACAAAAAAAGAGATAAAACTTTAAAAATGTAAAACAATATTGGATATTAAAGTTGTTGTTTTAGTTTTTCGAAAAAGCCCTTGAAAAGCTTTACCACAGATTAATGCTTGAAATAATTGCTCATGGGATGCTTTTTGTATAACTTAACAAATTTGTTTGTTGTTAGTTTTTTAAATGATTTTTGCTCAAGAGTCGAGCAGCAGCAGCCATTGTGGCTTGATTATGGAATTAAAAAAACCAAACAATTTAGTTGTCAATTGAGTCTTGATTAAACAAACGGTGGCGAAAGAGCCAACGTTAAAATAATAGTGGTTTAACAAAAAATAACCGTATTAAACAAAAGAGAACAACGCCGTCAAGACGATAAATAAAACTTGTATAGTTAATGTTATTACGTGTTTTTGTTGAACTTTTATTTAAAATGTTTAAACATAAAATTGTGGGTTTTTTTGTTTTATTCTCCTTTATATCATTGGGTAGTTTACAAGTTCAACAAGTATGTGAATTTTAAAATTATATTTTTCAAAAAAAATCCATTTTTATTGCAAATAATTTTATTTTAGTCATTATGGCCCGATGATAACAGTCATTTTAATAAAACGTTGGCAAATATAATGCAACCCCGAGTTGTGGGATCTGCAGGTCATACAAAAGTACGCAACTTTATAATAAGGTAAATATACACATACATATGTATGTACATATATATATTTAAATATTACATACAACAAAAACAACTAAAATCCCGCTTGATCTTACTTCTAAAATGGAAGGGAGAGAACAATATACAGATACTGTATTATTTCTGGTTAATGTTTCAGAAGAATAATTTAGTTTTTAATTGTTTAATTTTTTATATTCTTAAAAAAAATCGAAAACAAATTTCAACTAATTTCTCAAAAATAGACCAATAAATAATTTGTTTGTTTTAAAGAGAATTACAATCGTTGGGTTTTAACACGGAAGTTGATGAATTCTCCGAAAAAGTGCCCATATTTGGCAATGTTACTTTTGCCACCGTTGTTGGTGTTCTAAATCCAGATGCCAGCGACTTTTTAGCATTGTCCTGCCACTACGATAGTAAATATTTTCCAAATGACCCAGGATTTGTAGGTGCCATCGACTCCGCAGTACCATGTGCCACTCTGCTTAACACTGCTAAAACTCTACACCCATATTTGCAGCAAAATAATGGTCGTAAAGATCTAGGATTAATGGTATGTATAGATATTGTACAACTATATATGTACATATGTGCATAATTGCTATGACGCAGTTAAGTAGGAGTGGAATAAACAAAATATAAATAATGATAAAAATTGAATGTTCTTACAATCAATACATGTCTTGTGCATTATTAGTATTCATACAGGAACTAATGCAAGCATGGAACGTATTGTGCATAAATAATTTATTTTGTTATTTAATATATTTATTGGCTTTTTGTTTATAGTTAATATTTTTTGATGGCGAAGAAGCTTTTAAAGAGTGGACTAATACAGATTCTCTATACGGCTCTCGGCATTTAGCCAGAAAGCTTTCAAATTCTAAACCTAAAACTTCACCAAAAATACGCCACATTGATAGAATTGTAAGTAAATTTAAAATTTCAACTTTATTTTGAATACTTATGTTGTTTTATACTGCAGGAAGTTTTAGTTCTTCTTGATTTAATTGGTGCTGCCAACCCTAAATTCTCTAGTTTTTACGCCAACACCCAGGGTTTGCATAGTAGTCTCTGTGATATTGAACGGGATTTGATGAAGCAAAAACTTTTAGAGGGTCATAATCTAATGTTCTTAAATCGCCAGGCTCAAGGTTTTGTAGACGATGATCATCGTCCATTTTTACAAGAAAGTATGTATAATTATGACTACGATTGCAATACGCGCAAATATTCTTTTTCTTTTAGATGTTCCTATATTGCATGTAATACCAACACCATTCCCTCCTCAATGGCATACGCCTAATGATAATGCGCAAAATTTACATTGGCCCACCATTAGAAATTTTAATCGAATCTTTCGCACTTTCGTCTACGAGTATTTGCAACGCCATCGGGAAAGAGTTAATCTAAGATATTTCTAAATATGTGTATACCTATGTATTCACTTGCATTTGGATTGTTTATCAGCTTGTAAATTTTTAAATGTAAATGTTTGTAAATTTTGTTTTTAGAAAAATGTTTTATTTTTATTAATTAAAACTAATGTAAAGAAGCATGTTACTATATAATTTGATTTCATTCTATACAATTATATATGTAGGTATGATTGACTTATCTTCTCTTACGTCCTATGGCAGCCTTCTTGCCGGGCGCTCTTTGACCACGACCTCCTTTAGGTTTTTTTCCCACAGCCTTGCGACTTCCTTTACCACCACCCTTCTTGTTCTTTTTACCCTTTTTGCCAACATCTTCATTGGCTTCTCGTCTGTAAAAAACAAAAAATTTTACTCAAAAAGGAACTTTGGTTTCAGCAATAACAGTAACTTACTCTAGACGGTCATCCTGTTTTTGTAGAGATATAGCTTTTTCAATATCAATTTTTGGTTTTTTATTCAAAACACTCTTGATTAGATCCAAATTAACTTCCTTTTCGGGCTGGTCAGAAATGTGGGATGCCTTGCGTTTTGATCCAGGTATCAACTCCTTAACACCAATACCACGAGCTTCCTTTTCTTTAGGCAGTTTGTTTTGGAATTTACCTACAGAAGCTGTAGAAGCCTTGGCAACTGTTACAGCGGTTAATAATTGACCTGAAGTGGCAGCCTCTCCTCCTAAGTAGCCACTACGTGGTACTTCTTCCTTCTTCGCTCTTACAATATTCTTCATACGTTGAATTTCGTTCTTGGCTACTTTTTCGTTGCGTAGATCAATCTTCTTTTGGAACATATCCTCCATAGGATCAACATTTTGTGGTACTTCCAAAACCCAATCCTTTTGTTTCTCTGCATCTGCACGTCTGTATCCATAAGTGGGCACCCATTTCTATTGAAAATAAATTATTTTTAAAGTATTTCTTTCAAAATAGTATACCTTATAAATTTTACTTACATCCAAAGTTTCGTCGTATACTTTCTTATCTTTCTTCTTCTTAGTAATACCCTTCTCTTGAGCGAATTTCTCCCATTTCGTCATTGCCTTGGGACCAGGTACCTTGCGCAAACGTGGCAATACTGTAGTAGGAGTAGGCAGTTTAGCCACTATACACTCATCAACACGTTCTGTGGGCAACTGCCAGATTTCGTTTATTAGAAGTTGGGTATTATCACGAGTTAAATTTAGCAAATAATTTTCTCTGTTTTCTCTGTATAAAATGAATTTATATTAGTTTAATTTTAGTTTGATTCTTAAATTTTTACTTACTTTAATTCATTTTCTTCCAAATCATTGGGATCTGTTATTAACATCATGCCCACATCGATGCGACATTCTAAATGTTTGTCTACCGTTATGGGTTTATATTTTTCTAATTCTTTTTGTTGTTTTTCTAGCACTTCTTTTACAATATCCATTTTAATTTAGTCTTATTTATTTAATAATTAAAAAATTTATTCAAAAACACTTTTCAAAACTTTCAACAATTCTATTCAGTTTACTACAGCACGTGTTGATGTTTGTTTTTTTTTCAACATAAACGTCAATTTTAACAGTTGCAATAAAGAGCAAAAAGTACTAAAAAATATATTTTGACAAAAATATTTATAGATTTAATAAATTTTATATTTATCTAGATTAATCTGAGTGATACTTTTATAATTGTGTGCTAAATAATTTAAAAATAATAAAAAAATTTTACATAGAAAAATTATAAAAAATTCTAGCTATTTACTACTACTCATTGCAACTCTGCTAATAATTAGTTCTATTGTGTTATCATTTCTCCTTTTTAAACGATGAAGAAGCAATTTGTTTACATATTCTCCCGACACTCTCGTAGTATTAAAGCCGGTGCCGTCCTCCATGTGCGTCCAAAATGCAAACAAAGAAATTAAATTTGTACAAAAGTGAAGTTATAACATATTTTAGTGTTTATATAATTTATATTGTATATGAGTTATGGATGTTAATAGAAGCCCGGCATAAAATTTGGGAAATATCTGTTTATGATTTCCCGCAAGGATGGCCCATATTAAATACCCTCAAAGACGACACAAATGACGAGTTGTACGCCTTCAACGAATACATCAAAATCTATTGGCCCTGGTACATATTTCATTTGGCAGCATCAACTGTGGTCAGGAAATTCAATTGCAAATGGCAAAGCTTAACTAATGCAATTATTTGCCTGCTGATTCTACTAATGACAATGAAACTGTTATCGATAGCTCTTATTGGATGCTTGGTCTTATCCTATTATTTTATAGCACGTAGTCACTCGAAAAAGTTAACATGGCTGTTATCTGTCTTATGGATGGTTGCAATGATATTTCTTAAATCGAGTCATTACTTGCAACAGGATCTTGGCTACATCGAGTTTCACAATGTAATGGTGACGTTATGTTGGTCCATATTACGTGGCTGTAGCTATAGTTTACAATATGAAAAGTCTTATCGTTTGAAAGAGGAAAATCTTGATAGTAAATACGATCTTCCACACTTTTTGGGTTATACTTTATACTTTCCGTGTTTAATGTTGGGACCTTTTATGGGATACAATCGTTATATTGTATTGGACTATACGAATAGCCATTTCGGAAAAACAAAGTTTAGAAGATTTCTTTGGCAAATAGCCAGAGTAATATTCTGGTGGCTTATTCTAGAGGTAGCCACTCACTATGTATATGTTCATTACATGGCTGTGGATATAGCAGCAGTAGAAATCCTGGATACCAAATTTGGTCTATATGCTGTGGGTTATTTTATGGGTCAATTTTTCTTTATGTTCTATGTCATTTCTTATGGTCTGGGTATAGCTTTTGCACAGTATGATGGACTAAATCCACCACGGAAACCCCGATGTATTGGTCTAGTTCATTACTATTCAGATATGTGGAAATATTTCGACGAAGGCCTTTATGAGTTTCTCTTCTCACATATTTATGCAGAAATGTGCATCAAAACTTCGTCGGCTCTAAGAAAGATCCTAGCTACAGCTGCTACATTTTCATTTGTTTTTCTATGGCATGGCTACTATGGATATGTTTTTATATGGAGTATTTTAAATTTTTGTTGTTTGGTGGGAGAAAAAATTGTAAAAGGTTTAATTAAATCTCCCAATTATTTAAGATTTATGAAGAACAACCTAAAGCTAACTGAAGCAGGTCTTCAGCGCTTTAATGCCTTATTGGGTTCACAAATCTTTATACCGGCAGCATTTTCAAATTGTTATTTTATAAGTGGCTTAGATGTTGGCAATTACTTGATGAAGGGAGTTTATCAAGGTGGTTGGTGGAATTATTTAACTTTAACATTTTGTACTTACTGTTTCTTCCAATGTTGTGAAATATTATTGCAAACGAATTATGTAAATTAAGACCGACTTTAACACTGTACTGAATTCTTTATTTATGTAAATAAACTTGAAAAATCGAAAAAAATCTCAAATAGTTTTTAAAAAATTTACTTATTTATAAATTACCGTTATATTAATATAATCTGGTAATTTTTAATTGAAAATATAAAATATTCTATATTGGAACTCAATAAATAGGTATTAACATTAACTATTTTTAATAAAGTTTTTAAAAATACAGGATCTTGTGTACAACAATTCTTTGCCAATGAAATTTTATAACAGCGTTTCAGTAATATTGAACATTTATTTATATACTTTATACATTATTATATACTTTATAAATTATATATTATATACTTTATACATAATTTCGCTTGAAATGAAAGTAATTGCAATTGTTATTGATACTCTAATGATAACAATAAAATTGATGCAAATTACAGGAAATATTCAGAAAATTGTTTTTAAAATTTTTTTATTTAATTTTTTTGATACAATACATCTCCATATTTTTTAAACAAAAAAGTTCTAACAGTGTGATTCAGATAATTTTTATGTGTGACTTGACATTAATCATAATTAAAAGCATTTAATAGGGACTACAATCATCTTTTTGTTGTAAAATTTCAAAAAGTGCTTGACTATTTTGTTAAATAGTAAAATAGTTGATAAGTCGGAAAAGGTAGTTTTTAGTATTAAGCATATTATAAAGAAATCGTCCTTTATAACATAAATTATAATTTAATACTCTTTTCATTCATGTTTTTCATATCATACAAAATTTACTTTTTGTTTTTTTATATTTGTTTTCTTTTTAATTTTTATTTTTCCTCTGCAGCGTTGTATTTTTAGTATTTTTTGAAAGAGTTTTTTTTGAAAAAGTTTACAAATTGGAATAAATCAACAAGTTGTTATATTTACATATGTCCGTAATATTTTCTACTTTTATTTACAAAATAGATTATTAGATTTATTTTCCTACAAAATAGGGTTGGTTATTCGGTTGTATTAAAAGTCCACTTTTTTTAAGCTACGAAAAATTTTCTAAATCTTGTCGACTTTGTTCTCTTTTTTACTAGTTTTTTCAATATTGTTAAAAATACAATCGTTTTTGCTGAAAAATTTTATTTAGTGAATATTTTTAAAAACATTGCCATTACACACATTTTGCATTTTATAAGTTTAAATATAAATAAATAGTTTGCAATAATTTATTTACATAATAACATAATAATTCCGCAGTAAATACAACTCTTAAATAATATTCATTCCAAACACTTCCACTCGAAAAGAAGTTTGACAAGTGCAGCCAACTTCAGCAATAGCTGTAGTGTCGCCGCCATGATGTTTCCTGTTTCTTTTCTGTCGTCGCATTCCCAGACAAAAGGTGAGATTTTTATTTTCTCCTGTGAATTTGTTGAGTTAACACGTGTGAAATTTTGTGAATGAATAAAAATTATAATCACCAAAGTCTGACCAAGTCCATAACGCATACCACTACTACCCATAATTCGAAAAAATGCTGATTTTAAACAACATTAATGCCAAGGGTAAATATTCCGAATTTCTACACGTGCTAAGCTCAATCAATTATATTGAAAACACGAAGAAAAGTTAATTTGTTAAATTTTATATGATGAACGAATGAGCGGAAGAGTTCCATGAAGACTATATTCATCACCCAAGACTGAAAAATAAATTTAACAAGTTTTCTTTGTTCTGATAAACTATTTTTGTTAACGACATTGTACTAATCAATTTTCTTTCTATTGCAATACAGATCTGAGATGGCCACTACTTCATCGCACCTTAACTGGTTGATCATCCGCAACAACAATGCTTTCTTGTTGAAGAAGCGTGATATCAAGAAACCATTCTCCACTGTAAGTATTTAAATTACTTGTGTCAGATTTTTTAATCAAATGTCGATGATGTATTGTTTAATTCACAATGATAGTTGATTTACCACGTGATAAAAACCCTTCTCAAACCTGAGTATTTATTCAATAAATGAATCTAAGAGGATTTTTTACGACATATGTCTAATACACTATCTAATTTTATATTTCAGGAAGCTAACAACTTGACCAATGTCAGCTCTTACCGCTACAGTGGCCTCGTGCACAAGAAGACCCTCGGTGTTGTTCCCGCTGCCGACAAAAAGGGCTTCACTGTTGTCATGAAGAAGGGTAAATATGCCCAACGTCCCGCCAAGAACACCGTCAAAGTAACCATGAAGGCTGGTCCCAGAAGATCTTTGAAGAAATTGAGAAATCTTTTGACCGACAACAAATACCGCAAAGACTTGACTCAGGTTAGTTACCCCATAACTTTTAATGGGTGTTTCATTATTTTCACATATAATTTCTTGAATGATGATTTATAATTTTACTACCAAACCAAGATCGCTGAATTGTGGTGTTGAAACTTTAAAACTGATGAAATTTTTTAAAATTTTATTTTAATTTTATTTTTTTGCATTATAATAATAAATTATTTTATATATTTTGCAGGCTGCTTTGCGTCGCGCTTCCGCTGTGATGCGCTCCCAAAAGGCCCCACAAGTTAAGAAGACCAAAAAACCAGAATAAACTAAAACTGGATTTAAAATAACTTTTTAAATATAAAACAGAGGAAACAAACACCTTAAAACTCTACTTGTGTTTCATTTTATTTTAAATAGTCATCTATTTTAGGAACTCTTAATTCAATATGTGGTTGTAGTGGACGAAATAAAGAGCCTGATGTTGATGCAAAATACGCTCGTGCATATTTATTGCATAGGCGAAACACTAATTTTATAAAAATCGCATCAATTATTTTTGGAATGCCTGTTTGATGTTTTCTTCTGCATATCATATGTTTTTGTGATGATTTTCCGAACGAACTACAATGAGGTTCAGCGCAGTGATACATTTCAGGGAAAAATAGGCAATAACTCGATTTTAGAATCTTTAAAATATCTAGCTACATACGCAAGTTTTGAATTTTGAAGCAGATGAAATATCTTTACATGTGTATTGAAAAATTTCTGCAATCAAATTTTAAATCATATAAAAAATCTAGGAGTTTGTTTATTAGTTATGTGGTTTAAAAGTTCAAAAAGCTCTTCCGGTGTTATGTCAACATATCGTAGATCTCGATATACATATGTACATAAGGCGGTAAAAAACCTTGCCCTACCATACACCAGATTCAAAATGGTCATACGACTTCATTGTTTATTAGAGACATATTCATATTAACTTTCTCACAATATCGGCATCAACTTGAAGTATCTATTTTAGATTCAAGTCTATTAGGAATAATAAACTCCTTGAAATTTTTATCCATCTCCTATACATTAAACATAAAATAGGAAATAAACTCCCGGGTTATTCTGTCCTGTATATGTACATATATGATATTTGGAGTACAATACGAAAAGTGCAAATTGGCACCTTTCAGTAATTACATTACCGCATTTCCAACTTTGTGTTATCAGTTAAATAAATACATTTACCACAGGTAAAAAAGTGATCGATATTATGCCGAAACTTTAACTGCATTTCTCCATTGTAATTAATATTTGAAGTTTATGAAAATAAATTCGAGAAAAATTAAATCTTTTAGAGTGTCGTATGAACAACAGATTAGTAGTTAAGTGGTGAGACCCTCTGAGTACAAATCGGCACCCAGATTCAGAATTGTTTCTTTTTTATAGGAGTATTTGTACTAGTGAAATTAATGGCTACATGTTATGCGTAGAGAAGCAAGTTTTAGGTGCAGTAGCTGCATAATTTACATCAGTTTATTAGGCTTGGTTTCTGGACTAAAATAAACTTTTATGTCGAAATTTCTTCGAATTATCTCGTATTGCGCCTATACTTGATAGTACCGTACGTCGATAGGCCATTGATGAATGGCTAATTATTTTTGTGGTTACAAACATCACCATAGACATACAAATACATAACACCCTACATAATATTGTGGTGTTGGATAAACAAAACCAAAAAGATATTTATTATAGCGATTTTTATTCTATGGAAATTCTGTCGGTGTTTTAACGTCGTTATTAAATACAGCAACTTTGGAGTATTTAGCGGTTGTTCCTTTTGTTTTTCGCAATTTTATATTATTTGTTTGGATTTCTTTATTGTGCATGTGAAAAAAAAAAATGGTTCTAATTGGCCGAATAACACCACCAAATGTTGGATTGGCATTTTCATCTGACAATGTTCAATTAAAAATTGGACAGGAAATTATTGGCACCGGCAGTGTGTACATTAGTCAAAAGTAAGTTGGTAAAAAACAAGTAAAATGTGAGAAAATATATTTTATCTGGTTTCACTTCTTAGTTCTTTAGTTTGGCGGCCTAATAATTTGGAGCAAGATGGTATTTCCATATTTTGGAAGCAGATAAGTGTACATGGCATTTCCTCCACTCCTAGTAATTGCATTTACTTCATGCTTGATCATCAACTGAAATGGCCTGGAATTTACGAGGGAGAGATTCACAATCATTCCAATGGAACTGCAGATCATCCACAAAGTGGCATTGAAAATGAAAGTGAAGATGAGGATAACGACGTTTATGAAGATGCCGAAGAAATTCAAATGACGGAATGCTGGCTTATACCGCAGGATCCAAACTGTGTCAACACTATGTATCAAGCCATGACCGAATGTCAGGCCTTACATCCCGATTCAGATGACAGTATATCCGGAGACAGTGAATATATGGATGATGAAGATGATTGTGACGACAATGAGATTCCAGTGCTTGGTGGTGCTGATGAGAATGCCAGTGTAGAACAAGCCAGAGATAATATGAATAACATGTCCTTGAATGACGATCGGTTTGCTGATGCCGATGAATAATACATTATTATTCACAAAGTAATTTTTTCTTTAGAAACAAATTTTTAAATTAGCTTTTACGAACATATTTGTATAAAATTTTTTTAATAAAAACTACTAATTAAACCGATAAAAATTATATGCATAAGTTTCAGAAAATATAATGAGTATCCCATATTTATCTATACTGATCAATTACATATCGCTCATTTACTACAAGACTGGGATAATCCAAATTCGGGTTTTTGAACTGAGTCTGCCTATTTTCAAAAATATCTATTAATTTCGGAATTTGGGTGATTTTTTGTTGTGAAAGTTAAAACTGAAACCCAAGTTTTCACGATTATTGGATAAGTAAAAGTTTTGTTTATGTTCAGATGATAAACATATGTATAAACACCTACTTTATACTTATGTATGTGTATGTATATGGTTTTATTTTTTTTAAATCCGGCGATCTGTTTGAAAGGTTTTTAAAAATAGTAAAATGTCATTAAACATTTAATGTTGTTATACTCAAAATTATGTAATTTGATTTATGCCGGTCTAGTAAATGAACGATTTGTTTTTCGCAATATCACATGAGGATTTTGGAATATCTGAAGTGATATCTGTCTGTCCGAAGTCAAGTCTTGGAAGACCCTAGATATCTTCAGGGCCCAAATTTTCAATAATTCTATCAGACATACTTTTGGGAATTTTCCTATTTCAAAATTTCATATAATCCAATACATATAAATATACATTATCCCGAAAGAAGAAATTATTCTCTAGAATATCGGAAGTTCCAAATTTGTATACATATATAAATGAAATTGTAGTACCAACTAAAACTTGATCGGTTCATAATTGAGCATAGCTCCTACAGAAGGTACACTTCCGATAATCAATTGAATAATTAACCAATAACCATATCGGTACTAAATTCAACACGAATATGTTTTGAACATATGCAAATTATGCAGCGATTTTTTTCAGGATCGGCCCATAATTGATCATATTTCCCAAATAAAATCCACTTCTGAAAGTTACTTAATATTTAATAATTTATGAACTAAATATGAAATCGGGATAAATGGATCCACTAAGACAGGATTTTTGGAAATTTTACTTTTAGAGAAAAAAGGGTAAAAACGTGTAAATTTGGTAACCACATATGTATGTATGTATCTCTTAAGTTAAAATAGATACAACAAATGTTTTAAACTTATCGTTGTTCGTTTTAAAAAAAAGAAACCTCATAGTCTTACTACAGTATGATTATGCATTATAATCATGCTTTTTAATCACATAATTATTTATTATAATTGTACAAATAACTACGTTTACTCTTTTTGTAAAATGCGTTGAAGTAATAAATTCATTCAAACCTGTTGCAAAAATGCATCAAATGTAAACTCTAACTTATTTCCATTTCCTCTTTGGCTAAATACTCACAAATACAAATGTAAAATAAAATTAGCGATTTGCGCATACAAACTCTTTCTTTCTCTTTTTTGCATTACTTCAGTAGGCTCCCTTTCCGCTTCTCGTTTTATTTATTGCTCAGTTTTTAGTGTGAATTCATAATAATGCGTTTATCTTTTGGTACTGTTGTAATAAAAAATAATTAAAAATAGAAAAAGTGTTTAAATTAATATTTATAAATGTAGAGCAAAAAAGTTTTATAAGAAAAAGTTAAATTTTGTTACTAAATCACGATATTGAATAGTAAATTTATTGATGAAAGAATTTGTTAAAAATGTGCTGCCGGCAGCGCAATCGTAAAGGAAAATTGTGTATCTATTGTTTTAAAAGTTTGACAAATTTTCTTGTTGGTATTTTTACGTTGTTGACGCGAAAAGTTTGATTCAACGCATTTCGCAGGGGGAGGGCTGTGAAAAGAAAAAAGTAAATAAAAAGAGAGCATGTTTTATTATTATAAACGGTAAACATATGAATGTATGTCATGAAGTTAAAAGCTCCAACTATGGCCTGTTTTTATATAAAATAAAGAAGAAGTTGTTAGAAATGAATGTGATGCGTTTTGTTAAAGTTTTACAGTAATAAAAAAAGCTTTTAGAAAAAGCATAAGCTCTCTATGGGCTTTTTAAAATAAAAGTAAAAAATGCGTAAAAAGCGTTAAGAGTTTCCTAGTTTTTCCTCAACTTAATTGTTTATGTTAAATGAAAATTATCTCATTATGAATCCAGTACTTGTTACAAAAAGGTAAATTTTATTATTTATGTATATAATATAATTAAAATCATAGACAATATTTTCTATGAAAAAAATATCCTCAAATAGTTTTTTTATTTATTTTTAATAAAAATTGTTTTTAAGAAAATTTTCTATAGAGAATTTTTATAAAAAGTATCCTTTTAGAACAATTTCTATAGAAAGGTTCTTCTAACAACAGTTCTCTATAAAAAGTTTCTTTTGGAAAAGAATAAAAAATCTACTTTTAAGTTAGAAATCTGATATGTATTTAGTAAAAAATTTGATTAATAAGCAAATTCCGATTTACAATAAAAAATCACCAGATTTCTATTGAAAAGTCACATTTATAGTATAAATCGAACTTTAAGAAAAATCTAAATTTTAGTAAAAAACAAGATTTTTTAGTATAAAAAATAATATACCCAGTGTGCTTTGCTACCCTAAAATCAATGTATGTATATATGTACATATGTATTTAAAAACACTTTACGATTCTGAAGATTCTAACTATAATATTTTTCCAGATATACATTTTGGGGATGCCACACAGAGGGAAAAAAATAACATCCGTTGTCAAGTATATACATATATACATACATACAACAGATTGTTGTCGTAATCTAAACTTTATGCACATCCGTTGTCTAAAAGTTAACAAACGTGGTAAGCTCAAAATGCGTTGTAAATAGTGAGCTTACCACGTGGATAATGGATGTACATAAAGTTTAGATTGCGACAAGGAATTGTTGCAATGTTGACAAAGTTGCGTGGTCTACATTACATGTATGTATATACTTGACAATGGATGTTATTGAAAAATTTGGTGTCAATTTGGTACCAGGTACTGTGCACGCAAATTATTGCAAGTTCCCCAATTCTCAAAACGTTAATTTTTTAGATTTTAATGTAACCTATGAAAAATTTGAATAATAAAATATATAAAGTTTCCCAGATGTATGGGAGATGCCAAGGTCCAATTGAAAGTCCGTCCATTTTTCTTTAAATGTCAAAGTTTTCGTGTAAAATTTTCTAGATCTAATAGTTTCTCAAATATATGATTTTTTAATTCATATGGGAGGTTCCAATTTGCTAGTCCGCCAATTTATTACTGAAATTTTCACATTGATTTCAAAGGATTTTTGCTCTAATAGTTCCTCAGACATACGATTTTTTCTACTTATTTCATATGGGAGGTTACAATTTTTCCTACATTTGTTTATGTGTCTTCTGAGGAATTTTAAATTTGTTTTAAAAATGCTAAAATTTTTAGACGATTTTATAAAATATTTTGTTTGAGAAACCTCAAGCAAATTTAATTATCGTTAAAGTTTTGATTATATGCGTAATTTTACCACTTTAGAGACAATTTTTTCCAATCCACAATTTCTACTGAAAATACATATAATGTACATATACATATATTTAAAAATCAAACTCTTTATTTACAACTATAATATGTTCTTAATATCACACAAGTTAAAATACATTTCATTTGCATACAAATCCGCTCGCTAAAAGTGAATATGAATGGTATCCGCTTCAGTCTTTTCGAATTATATTTTCAATACTAAATGCCGTGGGATTTTTATTGTTGCCAGTAGTACTTATATCAGGACTACACGATTTTTCCACTTTTATTACATTTGCCCTTTTAGTAGTCGAACAAGTGGGCGTAAAGGCACTTGGGGACTGCGTTAGCATACGATCAGTGGAACAGCTGCTATTTGAAAGAGTGTCAACGGAAAAATCCAAATACTCTATGTCTGCATAAGAGGTGGATGAACCATTTAACGATGGTGGGGCACCAGGTGTAGGAACATTTTGATTATATAGTAAAGAAGCATTATTGGATTCTTCGTTAGATTGGGATGTTGGTGATGATGAGGCTGTAGGGTTTGTTGCAGAAGATGCTAAAGAAGAATTTCCGAATAGTATATTAAAGGGTGCAATGGAAGCTAAATATTGTCGATGCATTTCCGTAATGCGATCACTGTAGTTAAGGCACAAATTGTTTGAGTTTATATTGAACATGGCATCAATATTAGAGGGTATTTCTGCCATTGATTGATCATTTAATGCTGCTTGTTGTTCAGATACCTAGTTGTGAACAAAGAAAACGTGTTATAAAATGTATTTGCATTAAAATTTGTTCAGTATAGTTACCTTTAAAGACTCTCCCAATAAAGTGCCCGTTTTTAAGCATTGTCTTTGTCGTCTCGTTCTCCGGCGTCTATAGTTTCCTTGTTCAAACATATCATTTGCCGACGCATCCAACATCCAGTAGCTGCCTTTGCCCGCAGTATCATTGTCTTCAATAGTATTTTTATCACGTGGTACTTTCACGAAACAATCATTTAACGAGAGGTTATGTCGTATGGAATTTTGCCAACCTTGTTTATTTTCACGATAATAGGGAAACCTGTAAAAATTTTAATTGAAGAAATTATAATTACTGTTATTATTATATCAAATTACTTTTTGTTATAAATAATCACATATGATAAGGTTGTGCTTTTTTGCATTTCCATCCAAATCCATATACATACATATAAAAGGTTTATTAAGTATTTTTCACTAATAACCTTATTAATCGTTTATGGTAAAGATTTTGTAAGAAAAAATTCAAAATAACGGATCCAAATGGCTGTCAACGATTTCAAACATTTTCTTAAATGAATTTTTAATGGACACGTTTTGTAGATCTAGAGCCACTGATAACAGCTGTTACCATGATAAAAATACAGTGCACTTGCGGTGACGTGAACACCGTATAACGTGAACACCGCACTACTCTGTAACGTGAACAAATCCAGAAAGCTCTATAACGTGAACAATTTTTTTCACAGTATATGTTTTCTAAGCATGTAGACAACAGTGAAATACATTCATTAAATTCGAATTTTAAATTTTTGGGAATCCCCTTATATAAATGAGTGTATATCCCCTAAATTATTTTGTTTGTATGGGTTGATGATACCACTGAAATCCATGAAATTGTGCAAAACGAAGAAAGTGATGACCAGGGAAACCGAAATATGCAAATGCATGTTTTTTGTGGTGCGTCATATGGATAAGATATTTACACGTTTCAGACCAATTTAAGAATTTTGGTATCGATTTGTTAGAGCATATTTTTGCGTATTTTACCTATAACAGCATATATATGCATGATTTGACTTTTGTAGCATATTTTAGGCATATTTTTGAGTTTTTAGAGCATATTTTACTCTTTTAGTGCATATTTTGAAGTTTTTCGCTTTTTTTCATTTGTGTACATTTTTAATTTTCCTTACAAAACTTTATTTAAAAAATATCAAAATTAATTTTTTATATTTTTTTTTAAATTTTTAGCCTATTTTACAATTTTGAAAAAAATTATTTTCGTTTGTAGAACTTGAAAGCTGCAATAAATACATTAATCTCATGAAAACCAATGTTAGTTTTTTACTCAATAAAGCATTAAATTGTAAATCGAACATAAAACCGATTACTTTGGATTTCATGACACCAATCCATTTTTAAAAAACTAGTATTGATAACACTGTAAGTAACACTGTGTCAAAACGACACAGAAAAACCCCGAGACACCTAAACTTAATTTTGGGTCGTAGAATCTAGTGGCTTACTCCGTTTTGAAAATTTAGGTCAAAATGGGGAGACATTGCGTTTTTAAATTTTGAAAAAAGTTTTCACGCATAGACATACGAACTAATTATAAAAAACTAAATATATATGAAGAATTAATTCAAATGGACTCTAGTTTCATGTATTTATATATTTTTCTATGAATGTTTTTTTTTTAATTTAAATAATTAAAAAACACCTCAGAAACAGTGTAAACTTTAGAATCCAATATCTCCCGATTTTGACTCAACTTTTCAAAACGGAGTATGTCACTATGACGACCGAAAATTAAGTTTACGTGTTTCGGCGTTTTTCTGTGTCTTTTTGAAAGTTGAAATTTTAATTACAGTGTAATTATTGGATTTTATGACAACACAGATTAAAATGTCAGTTTAGAAGCTATGAATACAATTGGAAGAAATGTGTCAAACTTTGTCGTTTGAAATATGTTTTTTGGGGACCAAATGTCTTTATTGGTTATCTGAACGTAAAACTGAGTTCTATTAAACTAGTTCTTCAAACTATGAGATGAATCAATTATAAAAAAATCTTGTAGGATGAAATATGACATTAAATATTTATTATTTCATTACAATTTCAGCCTTTTTGAGCTTTTCAATGTTAAAATATACTTTAAAATAATTATTTTTGAGCATATTTTTTAATTTTTAAGAGCATATTTTGAGTTTTTACGGCATATTTAAAGCGCTTAAAACACTTTTTTTAGAGCATGTTTTCGGTTTCCCTGGTGATGACGATGATTGCATTATCGATGATCCTGTTAAAAAAGTTGCCGCAAGTGAGGCAATTTAAATCTTTAACAAGGCAATTCAATGGGCAGGAGATGCAACGGTGGATCAAAGTGACATGAGTGTACTTAGACGCTTAAGGGAGAAAGCAGTATTTCAGCTATTAGAGAAGAAGAAGCAGCAGAAAAAGATAATGGATTTCTTTAATGCATAAATGTAATGAGTTATTTTATTAGCTATGTAATTTTAAGCTCTCATCAAAAATTTTTTTGAAGTTTGCTGGTATTTTCTGAAATATGTTTTTTGTAAACATAAAAAAGTCGTTGCCACATACGTTAAAGGGGAAACAATTTTAAGGCTTTTGTATTTTTTATGTGTAATTTATAGATATTAAATTAGTGTATAAGATTTTCTCGTTCCGTTTGTAACACATGGAATAGTTCATCTAAAACCCACAAAAGTATAAATTGACAATTTCGTGTCAAGTGACCCAACTTTTAAAATCGATGTCTTCCGATTTGGATGAAATTTGCACCAAGGTTAGTACTATTGAATAGTAGGTCAGACACACATTCTCAGCTCTATCGGTCAAGAACTGCCGGTCTTAGAGGTTATTGTTTTTAATTATACAAAATTGTTCATAAAAAGATTTTCTGAGAAATGCTTTATGTAGGGGATACGGTCAAATTTGAACCGATTCTAAAAATATATGTTGGTGGAATTTATTTTTGCATAAAAGTTATTTATTGCAAATTTAATTATGATACTAGTGTTTATAAGTTAATTATGGACTTCAAGCCATTTTCTGAAGGGTGTGTGTGGGAACTAGGGTCAAATATGGTCCGATAAATAAGTTTGCTATAATCTTTAGTGATACTGATGATTTTAAAATTAATCCGGCCGCATTTGACTCCCCATAGTCATACCCTTCATACATACCCTTCAGAAAATGACTTGAAGTCCATAATTAACTTATAAACACTAGTATCACAATTAAATTTGCAATAAATAACTTTTATGCAAAAATAAATTCCACCAATAATATAACTTTTATGCAAACATAAATAAATTCTACCACCAAATATTTTTAGGATCGGTTCATATTTGACCGAAAATTTTTGTATTTTATTATATTTAAAATTGAGATTTCGAAAGCTCTTCCCTCTTTTTAAAGTATCTCACTAATGAGTGGGATACTCTGATAGGCAATTTTGTTCTGACTATCTGCACGCATGGCCCTCACGTGCAAAACCTTCCGCGGCAAATCGATTTTCTGTTCATTAACAAACAAATTTATATGAATTTTGTAATAGTATACATAATCTACATGTTTGGGTGCTAAATTTTGAAGAGGGATAAACCGCAGTCCCTATTCTTGCATTTTCTCCGTGGAAAGGGTCAAACAATGACACATTTCCAGTTTTGCAATAAAAAATTTAAATTTTTTTTATGCTCGAGAAAAATTATAACCTTTTTAAAGTTCTTTTTTATACAATACAATTTTTGTACAATGATCCTATCGATAACTAACTTGTTAAGAAAAAAGTGCCAATAAAATAATTGATGCATAATTTTGTTTAGTTTAAAGGCAAATCTTACAGACACTTTGAAATTTACTTTATAAAAACATTTTCAACTTACTTCTCCATTATGAATTTATATATTCCACTTAATGTTAAGCGCTGGTTTGGTGCACTGCTTATTGCCATGGCAATTAAAGCAATATACGAAAATGGTGGTTTCTCTGGACGATGAGAATTTTGTAGAAAAGACCATGGATACGACCACATATTATTGTGCATTGTCATTAGTGGATGAATATTTGGTATATTGGCATAGAAATATGGGCTGGGAGATGCCGACGGAGAATGATCGGTTAATATGGCGGGTAAAGGTGAACTGCCGATTGAAGTTTCAATAAAGTCGGAACGTGGTAACATGTTACTGCCCGAAGGTAGTTGCCCCAAATTTAAATAGTATGGAGAGGGTAACATGGTGATTATATTTAGCTTTTATTTGCTTCCAAATTTTGTTATTTTAACTAGATCATATAACTTGCACTTTTACACTATTCACTTCAAGGTAGTAATATTGCTTTAATATTACAACGCTATTATTTAATTTGATTTTTTATGGTATTATTGTTTTTGTTTTTATTTTTTAATATTTTCCTAGATATTCTCTTTATATTTTTTCAAAGTGAAGAATTTTTTAAAACAATTAAATTTTTTATATTTATCCGTTTTTTTTTGAATTCGTTAATTTTTCCGATATTGGTTCCTTGCTCGACAACGGCCAAATGAACAAACATCAATCTACAAGAATCAATTGTTTCATTTAGTCAAATTCTTGTGATGATTTTTAAATTTGTTCTCCCACAATATTGTTCTCCGAGGAACAAACAAAGATGATCTATTTTACAATGTAAACAAAAATCACACGTACTACATGTCAGTGGATAGAAATCGATGGTTTGTTGTTACGCTTTCTGAACCATTAGTATGAAAACAACACACTCATATTGTTGTTGTAGTGATTGTTGCGCGGTTGTGGGATGATCTTTGAATTTTGAATATAGAATGATCACTTAAGAGAGGAGAAAAAAGTCGTAAAAATTTTCAAATTTCCTCCCATTCATTCAGTCATTCTCATACAGTTCTCGTATGCTAAAAGGCAGAAAGAAGTAAACATTCGATCACATGTTGACTTATTAGTTTTTTGTTTTTGTATTTTATAATGAAAACAATAACAAAAAACACTTAAAAGGCACGAGTAAGAGGGCGAGTGCTCGGTCTGTTTATATCCCTTTTTCTGTGTATTTATCGACAAAAACAAAAAATAAAATAAAAATTACCATAAAAAGGGTTCTGGCAAAATGATCGTAAAAAAGTCGTAAAATTTTTGTTTTTATTATTTCTTATTGTTTACAATCAAAACTTTCACTTTTTCTCTCTGTTTGTTTTGCATCTTTAACTTATTCCTAATGTCATCTCAATACATCGATTCCTCTCGGTATATTCTGTGTTGTAAATAATTTAGTTCTTTTCTGTTTAATTTCTATTAACAACATTAATCATTGTTGCAATTGCATGCGGTCAGATCGATAAAATCTCAATAAAAATTACTGAATGTGGAAGCCCTGCTAGTGAAGGGTGCCATGTCATAATGTGCTACTTGTGCTTCATTGTTATTATTACGAGGGTCGTTACCAAACGAATATAGGAAATATTGAAAAAATTTCATCATATGTTTGATGTTAATTTTAAATTGCATAATATTTAACAGAGTTTGATTTTAAAATACTTTTGCTGGTGTATAAATTAAAATACGAACATCAATATCGGATGTGGCTTACATAAGTATCTCTATATATGTACATACATACATATGTATCTATGAAAGTTGAAATTCCTTGAAATTTTTTATGAATGCAATAATGATTCCTTCCACCTTATATTTTCCTTGCACTTTCTTTACAACCCTCGCAGATAAGTTTTTATTTGTTAGTTTTTTGCTTTATTTCGGAAGCTTTGATATTTGTTAAATTGTTCGTTGGTGGTAGACCTCGTATGTGTAAATATTTTGAAATTATAAAATAGTGTCTATAAACAAATAAAAGAATAATTGGTTTTTATCTGAATATCAGTGATAGTTTTGTATCCCTCAGTTTTTATACCCTACACTACTATAGTGGGGAGGGTATTATGCGCTTATGCATAATATTGGTCCTATTCTCACTTGAGTCGATTAGGCTATGTCCGTCTGTATGTCCGTCTGTATGTAGCTTGCATGCTACAGGTCGCAATTTTGAAGATAATTTCATAAAATTAGAAAAATAATCTTTTCTTGACACAATTATGAAAAATGGTCGAAATAGGTTCATTATTTCACCTAGCCCCCATAAAACCGTACCCCCTGAATAGGGCTTTGGAGCTTATGATTATGTTAAATGTTCTAGAATCGCTACGAAAATCGTCAAAACTTAGTTTAATACAGTTTTCGTAATGTTAAAATATTTTTAAAACATAATTTTAAACTACTCATTTATGTGGTCGGCCATGCCCGATTATACATTCTTATTTGTTCTTATTGGTGTTGTTGATGTTATTCTTGTTTCGGATGCGTTTGTTTGTGTTCTTGTGGTGTTTATGATTTAAATCCACATCAAAGTAAAATAAGTTTGTTTAATTTTCGTTTTATTATATTGAAACACCGGTAGTTTTCCTCAAACTTCATTGGAATAATAACTTAATATTAATTTGAAGTTATTAGTTTTCTTTAATTGAATTCCTTCGTATATTATTAATTTCTATACATTTTATGTTAATGTCGCAAAACAATTTGGGTGATATACATATATTACCTCAAAAGCCATGTCTATCTTACGCGGACAAAAGAATAATACATAAATGCAATGAATTTTGTAATTAATAGTATGTATGTATATGTGTGCATGAATATTTGGATGGAGTACAACAAATTCGGCTCTTGTAACCAAAACTTGTTCCTCTGTTTAAACAGAATACAAATATTTACCCATTTTTACACTTTCCAATTGATTTCTGTGCCCGTTGTCCATTTGGACTAACATTTTACACCAGTTATTTTTGGACACTAATGAACAAAATAAGAATCATACAAAGAAAATCAATTTTTTTGGATGCCTCTAATGTAGTACTAAATATGAGAAAAATTAAAACCATTTTTTTTTAAAAGATTCTCAGTTAATTACCAACGATTGAAAATCTTGATCTCAGTACAATATGTTCAATCTTATAGAATTGGGTGCCAAAAGTTCTGCAAAACAAATTAAAATTTTTGTTAGCGTATTTCTGGTCCGCAATACGACTTTTATTGTATTATAAGGGGCATATAAATTTTAAAAAATTCTGAAATGGACTAAAAAAAATTATATTGTGGACCAAAAATACTTTACAAAAATTTTAAAATTATTTTTCCCGTAATCAGCTCAAAATTACGAAATTTTTAAGACCCATTTCGAAAAAATCTAAAATATTTTATTTTTCAAAAATTACACTGAAGTCAAGATTTTCAATCGCTGGTAGGGAACCATTCCAAAAAAATATTTTTTATTTTTCTGTGTTTGGTACATAAATATGCATCGATTGAGTGGTATTCCTACATGAAATTCTTAAAAAGCCTGTTCTTCGGGACACTAATGTACAGTCAAACTCGCTTAAACGAACTCGGCTATAAGGAATTCTCAGTTATTACGAACTATTTCTCAAGTCCCTACATTTTGATAACTATTTACATACAAAAAACATCTTATAATGAACTTGATTATAACGAATCCTCCGACAAAACGAACTACTTTTTCAGTCCCTCAAGTACAGTTTAATACAATTTTGCTTATTTTATAACGAATTTTAAAATTTATATGTTGAAACCATTCTACTATTACTATTTCGCTTTAAAAAATTAAATTTGCTTAGAAATATAAACAAATAAAATCAAATAAAGATAAATGTATAATTCATATAATTTTAATTGCGGAATATACCACTTTATTTTTTGATCTTCAAAAACTTTACCCGTCTTATTAAAAAACTTCGCTTATAACGAACAAATTTGACTGATCCCCCGGAATTCGTTATAAATGGATTTGACTGTATATACCACAGTTAATAATCCAAACGATTTTAAAATGAATAATTTTCTAAAATTTTATTTGAAAAATATTATGCTTAGTTTTTGTATAAATGTTTAAAAATATTTGCACATTATTAGCTAATGATTATTTAATACATTTATTATTAAATAAACTAATAAACAAATTAGTATTTAAATAATATACATCTGTACGTCTGTATGTATTTAGTATTGGAACAACTACACAAGTATACATCCATCCATAATTTTTTTGGATGATGCCCAGAAAAGCCAACCACTGAGTTCGAAATCCAATTTTAAATAAATAAAGAAAATATTTTAATGAATATTTGAAATTTTCCCAAACACACAAAGAGAAACAAACAACAAATTAAAAATTTTAACAATTTCTTTTTTGTTTCGCCAAATTTCGTAAAGAAAATATAAATAAATTTCAAAAAGCTTAACGCTTTCAAAACATCGAAGCCAACACACAAAGAGATCAGAGTCATAGAGTACAACGAATGGTGGCAGGGAAAGGTGGGCGTAATTAACGGCCAGCTGGATGAATGGATGGCTGGCTGACTGACTGGCCCATTGGTAAGATCAAACAAATGGTAAAAATACAATAGTAAAACAAACAAAAACAATACTCTGGAAATAATAAATATACAATATTCAATAATGATTTTATTTTTTTTTACTGTTGTTTGTTACTTTTGTATTTTTCTTTTGGTTAAATTCACTTGGAATTTGTTCTTAAATAAATAAATTTCATTGTAATATAAATATTTTGAAAAATTATCGTAATGTTTAAGATCATAAAAATAAAATGGATATTTTACGATCCTTATTTATATGATGATCAGTTAAATACTTGAAAATAATTAAATTTACATGCATATGTACATGTATATGCATATGCATGTATGTAAATATATTTACTAGATGAGCGCAGAGATTGTGATAAACGGATGAGTGAGTGAGTAGAGAAAATATAAAATACACATGTATGGATCTGTACAAACAGAAATTTAAAAGTGGGTGTTTATTTTGAAAACCAACCAATCACGGCATGAATATTTGAATTTTCTTCGATCACTATTTATTTATGTACACACTTTTGTTAAAATTTTCTTTAGATTTTCATTGTTTGCTTGTTTTTTGTATGTTTCCTAATAAATAGTCTTTGATATTTTTTGTTTATAATTTGAGTTTTTATAGTTTTTAATATTCGATATTCTTTGATTTGTCATCACCTGCCATTATTGAATTTTAAATTTTGTGAATATTTCCACAAAACAATTTTTCCATAGATGTTTATTTTTATAACATTTCGTGGATCTGAATAAACGTAGCACATACAATACAATACATATGT